CCAAATTTGGGATCTCGGGTTTAGGATTTTGCTTTGAGATGCAGGTGATGGAAACACTGTGTGGTTACATCTGTCCTGTGGGGGGGGGTTGTTGGGTTTTTTTAATCCCATGTGGCTAGCACTGGGTCCAAATTGCATGTGGTTTGGCTCAGGTCTTCTACGCTGCCAGTGGGCAGAGGGCATGTGCACGCATTGCAGAGTCTCATCAGTTTGGGAACAACTACTGCGAGCTGTTGTATGTGAGTCTCGTGATACACAAATCAGCGCAGACAGTGTTAAAGATGATTTAGGCCTTGTTCATCTGCCTTGGCAGAGGGACCATTTAGATGACCTGTCAAACTCCTGTCAAGACTTATTTTCTATAATTTTGTATCAGCAAAGATAAGCACTGTGCTCTGCTGGGGCAGGAAGGTACTTGACTCTCATTATATGCCATTTGAGAGTTTCTTTATAATCCAATTTCAGGATCTCACAAGCCTATCTTTAAAAGAGGAAAAAAAAACAACCAACAACTATTTTCAGTCAATTTTTGAAGGACATCATGTGTATGCACTGATTTTAAGAATCTGATTTCTTTTCTCTCACTGCGAGCAAATGCAACTTTGAGAAGTAACCACAAGAGGTTACTTCGTGTAATGTCTGATGTGCAGCATGTGACTAGATGTAACCCATCCATTCTCCATTCCCAAGTGCTGGTGATGCTAGTTTGCATAGTTATGGTCAAGAGGATACAGCTCCTTCCCTTATCTGCCCTGCATTTCTCTCCAGCTTAGTATCGCCACCACAAGAAGTGTTTACTCCCCAATCTGTTCATCCTGCACATTTTCAGGAGGAACATTTCTCCTTTACAGTTTGCACCTTATGTAGACTTGCTGTTGATCCAAGATGTACGCACCACAAGTTCGACTGGAATGTGTGCATTTTAATCCAAACCAGTTCACAGAATTCAGGTGCTTGGCCCATATTGTTTTGGGTTTGTTTTAAAAAAAGTACTGGAATGTTGGAAATGGTAGGTGCAGATGTAAACCTAAGGGATAAAAGTCTGAGCATATTGATCAAATATCTGTAGAAGCAGAATAACGTTACCTTTCTCTTTTTGACAGAACATAACCCTGTCATCTAAAAAAAAATAACATCTAAAACACTCTTGAGAAGTTGAACGTTAGATAAAAGGCACAAAAAAGCAAACATCTGAAAATTCTAGGTAGCGTACATACCTATATATATGAATATATATATATATATACAATGAATTGTAAGAACTCTGTTCAGTTAGAGAGTGAACCATAGTCCCCCTGCAAATGTACAAAGCATAAGTCATGAGTGGGAGAGACTGTGAGGCAGAGAAGGTACGTAACCTCCCTTAACTACCTTAATGCTTTCTGGGGATGCCATATGAAGCACAGGCAACCAGGGTGACCCATCTGCCTGCTTCCACACCAGATGGGTTCATGGTGGGAATGACTGCCTCAAGAGACTGGCTACACTGCATTTCTCAGTGTGCGAAAGCAATGCTGAGCTGATGAAAGGGACTGATCAGGAGATGAGCAGAAATGATCTCTTTCCCAGTTACATGTCTGCTCTCCAAGTGACCTCATTTGTATCACCAGCATAAGACCCACTGTTGTGGAGAAGACTGACCTGAGCTCCTTGTTGTGGAAAACCTTTTACTTCACCGTACCCTGTGTAACACAGCAGTAATGCTCACTGACTTCAGCAGTGTGGCTCAGGGCAGGAATTCTTCTGATTTTAGAAGTAATCTAAATATCTAGCAAACATTGAAAACACTTGGTGAAATACAGTCTCACCTTCATATTTAACATGAAAGATCCCAGTTCATCAGCATTATGATACATACACAGTGTTTAAGGTAACAATACTACTTTTATGTTTCTGGTTTTTATAGTGAAATATTTGATCTCTATTAGCACCATGTTTATACATGTTACATGTATCT